CATCTTCGTTACTAATGCGTTCACGTTTTATAACGGAGTATCGCCATATCAGGCACACACAGGACGTCAGCCCTCCTTCCTTCCTGATCTCGATACCCTTGACTTTCCCAAGGGACCCGAGACTTCAGGACACGAACGAGAACGTCGTGTAAGGGAAGTCAGCCTAGAAGCTATAACTCAGGCTACTGCTGTAGCCAAGACAAATCGGGCTCTTAGGGCCAAGACGACTCCTGATGGTGCTCGCCTTTACTCATCAGGTGATTTGGTCGACTATCACCGACCTACTGCCACCAAGGACGACCATGGAGGCTGGAATGGCCCATTCCCGGTGATCCGAAATGTGCCTGAAAGAGGACATATCGTTGTCAAGGCAGGATCTCGTGAGGTAATTGTGATGTATCCTGATGCTCGTCACACACTATACATCGAATGTCTCCTCACACGGGAATTTGGCATGGATAACATGGCCATGCAAACCGTCCTTGCCTATGTGGCACATCTCAGTGCAGGGAAACCTGCCAAAGTTTTCGGGTGTATTCCCGACTGCAAGGGAAACCTTAACCTGTCAGACGATAGCAAGTTTCACCCGCGCGTACACCTAGCACTACAGTATCTCGTACGAAATTACTTCAGAGTGGATCATGTAGTAGCAGTTCGATTGGCTAAGAGTGTGTCAAGCCTACCTGCAGTAAAGTACGCCACCGGGTCTACGCTGATCCACTATGACAATGACATTAGCCCGGCGTTCCACTACTACGAATGTGTGGGCACCGGCCTAAACATCTCTCAGATTACTGGTAGCACTCACTCCAGACTTATTCAATGCTTGACTTCACGTGTCCCTTCCTTAGGATTTCACGATGACCTGGCTAAATATCAGCATCCAAGCAACACGTCTGGAGAACACGAGTCGCCTGGAGACAGGCCTTCTCCAGACACACCAGATGCTTCATCGCCTAGCGAAGGCCGTCTGTCGACAATCTATGAGGAAAATGAGGAACACAATATCGAAGCCATGATGCTGGAAGAGTGGTGCGACGAACTACGTATGGACCTTCATCCTACGACGATTACAGATGATTATCTCTATTGCGTCCCAACAACTATGCTGCCTAACCAATGCGTTTTGGTTTCAGCATTTGCGGACGAAGATGATATTACATCATCAGATATGCTCGGAGACGAGCCTAAATCATGTGAGTCTTGTCTAGTATCTCTTTGTTCGAACACAAACGACGAGAGCTATTCCCTAGACAGTGATGAATATGGTCCTTACGTTGAACTATGCTTTACATCAGAAATGTCAAAAATAGTGTTGGATCAGACCCAACTTGCACAGCTCGATACCGATATGGTCGCAACGATGAGAGTATATGTATCCAATGCCGCTAAACGTGCTGTGGTTGTCAAAGAAGACGACCTACTGACCAAAGCCGACATAGCAGCACATCCAAAGGAGGTTAGTGAAGCCTTATATACTGAGCTCAAGATCTGGATTGATAACCGATGCTTTGAGATGTACGACTTATCCAAAGCTTCCAACATCATGACATCCAGATATGTATACAAGTGGAAGTTCGTAAAGATGGGCACCGAGAACGTTAAAACCATTCGTCTCAGATTGGTCCTTCGTGGATTTATGGATACTGAGGCCTTTGATGTGGAAACATTCTCGGGAACCGCCCGAAGGCAGTCTCAACGACTCTTGGCAAGTGAAGCGGCATGTCATCCAGAGTGGATCTTAGCATCCATGGATATCGACAAGGCGTTCCTTAAAGGTTTGACCTACGAGGAACTTGCCCATGCCACTGGCGAGGAAACTCGCATGGTCTGCTTTACTCTTCCACCAGGAAGCGCTCAGGTACTTCGTACCCTACCCGGCTTCTCATCCTACGACGAAAGTCGACACTGTCTTAGGTGCCTCAAACCAGGAACGGGTACTAAGGACGCCCCAAGAGCGTTCTCTCTCAAACTTCGTACGACCACACGAGCTATAGGACTTACACCGACTAGTTACGATCCTGAATTTGAATTCAGCCAAGATCTTCTGACTGCAAAACATGTCGATGACATTAATATGACAGGTCTAGAGAAAAATATCGACGACTATGTACAACGTGTCGAAAAGGTTTTTGGCAAATGCAAGCTCAACAAGCATACATATACGAACTGCGCCGTCCGCTACACTAAGAATGATCAGGGAGATGTGATCATGGACCAGGACGAGTATATCAAACAACTACGTCCTATCACACATCCAGAACTTACAGGAGCGGCGGCCGACGCCAAAGCCACGAAACTTATTACCGACATGTTCGTCAGCCTGCGAGGAGCCCTCGCCTATGCCCTTCTTACTCAAATCTGGCTTATGGTATATGTGGTCTCTCTTCAGAAAATTCAAGAGCCCACCAATTTACAAGTCAGACGTTTGAATGCTGTGGCGCGAAAGCTGATCAGCAGTCCGAAACGTATCACCTTCCCTCGGATGAAGCCGACGAATGAAGTCGACATCCATAGCGATTCGGGATATCGGAAGCTTACCGGGGAGGAGGATGACGAGACCAAGGGCTACGGCATACGCGGGGCCAACGTACTACGGCGAGGAAACTCGCCTCAAGGCAAGTCCGTCGTTCACCTCTGTGACGGACTATGCAAATCACACCGATTACAGGTGAGGTCCAGTTATGCTGCGGAGGCACTTGCAGCCGCACATAACCTTGATGAGTGTTACCCTACGCTCATTACTCTCCATGAGCTTAAGGCAGGGGCCTTGACTCCACGACAACTACGAGATATGCGTGAAGTTGGAGGCCTTGCTATCAAAGTCTCTCTGACCATAGACGCTGAGTCCGTCTACAAATCTTTATCAAGCAGGGATCTCAAAATACCCACAGAACGGACTCTGCTTGGACATATCAGTTGGATACGTGAGCTTATGGATATAGGTATAGTACATAACGTGCAATGGTGTGATACTAGGGATATGACCGCAGATGGGCATACAAAGGGAAGCATCGATCGGGAGCTGCTTCTGGAAGTGATGTCAGGCACTCAGTCATTTAAGTATGACGTGAAGCAATTTGTTCCCTTTCGGGGTCCCGAGGACAGAGACAAACCTAAGTCTAATCAATTTTAGTCTGTCCTTGTTGCCCTCGTGGTCCAGTTTGCCAGCACGGGCGCCTACTATAAAGGCGCCCCTCTAGTTGCTCGGAAACGAGCCTCATATTTCACGCCTGGCAACGAGCCGGCTTCATACAACTCAGGCTCTTTGCCTCAATACACATTTGCTTGGTGAGGTATGGCCTAATTTTGGCCTACCTCTAACTAGGCCGATAGCCCTTCATTATTTGAAGGGGCTGTTCTGCATTTGCGTGAAATACTTCGCGAGGAAACTCGCCTTACAGTCTGGCGTTTGGCCAGTCTGTACGCACTGTTTTCATTTCTTTGCAAACAGTCGTGCGTGCGAATTTTGCGTGCGACTATGCTCTCCGTCTCCTCCCCTCCCGACTTTGAGGGTAGCTCTTTGGGAGATGTTATAGTATCGGGAGCATAGCTCGCGCGCCGCTGCCTTGGGCTCAAGGCACGCGCGCCCTATTTGCCCGGACACTGCTTGTGTTCGCTATGTGCTGGAAAGATCATTACATCGATCTTATCCTATCTTATCCGCCCATTCCTCATACTGTACCCTCACAGCAGAGCGATGGACGCTATTTGCCATCCGATGTCCACGGTCAGCGCCTTGGAATCGGATGCTATTTGAGTTACCAGGCTCACTTTCGACTGGGGGGAGGAGGAGGAGGAGGAGGAGGAGGAGGAGGAGGAGGAGGAGGAGGAGGAGGAGGAGGAGGAGGAGGAGGAGGAGGAATGGGGAGGAGGAGGGGGGGCTTGGGGCCGACATCGTGGAGGCTGTCGAGCCCCCATCTTCGAGTGTTCTCGAGTATGGTACCTGGCCACCACCTCCGCACGTCAGAGCCAGCTCGGCAAGCACCGCACTTGTTTTAGGGCATCACAGTACCACCTCTGTTCGAGGCCTTTCATTTTCAACTCCTGGAATTCCGCGTAACCCCAACAGCGCATCCGGAAGCGACTCCCGGGCGGGTTCTCGTGAGAAGGGTCGTATGGAGAGGGGAGCATCAGTGGAACCAAGAGGGGGGCGCCCTTCAAAACGAAGCCGGAGTCAGCCAGCGAGGAATTTTTGGGATCCTCTTGGAGGCTTCTTGGAGCTGTGCTGGGGCTCTTTTTCCAGAGTCCTTTGGGGCCGCTCGGGGCTGTCTTGGGAACCCTCTCTTCTCAGGGCCACCATAGAGGCCTCAATAAGCCTCCCTCCCCCTGAGGAGCTCGAGAAAGAAGCATGCGTTGAGGGCCCCCTTTGGGTGCTCTTGGGGCCGTTTGGGGGTCCTCTCTCGACTCTTGGGGCCCCCCGGGCGGCGTCCGAGAAGCCTCTCAGTGCCATGCAAAAACCAGGACGCTGCGGGCCAGGACTTTTGCAAGCCGCAGCTGGAGGGGAGGATCAGCGGGGAAGGTTTCGACCCGTGCCTGCAGAGTTCCTTGGGCGTGCCGACACCTCGGGTTAGCAGGAAGTCCCTGTTCACGGGGCCCTGGACCGCCCCCCCTCCTCCCCGGACATCTGGGGCGCTCCAGGAGGGCCTCGCCTTCGAGGATCGAATGAGATGTCATCTCTGCAATAGTCATTCTGTTTATCTGATAATGCTGGTCCCTGCTATTGCTGTTGCATGCTCTCACCCCTCTGCCCGTAAACATATTGGCTGAGGGGGCCCCCTTCTGCCTACGCTACCAGCTAGCATAACGTATCACTTGCAGCGAGAAGGTCTTGGAATAAAAGATTCACGCATATTGTCAGCACCTGCGTGTGCGTTGCATTGGCAGCGGAGCGTGTATTCCGAGCTCCCTCGCAGGGAGAACACTTCGGCACCAGACAGTTCCCTTCCGGACACTCCCGTGCAGTCGGACAGACTCCGACGGATATCACATCTCGCACGATGGCTGACCGGAGGCCTGCTGCTGCCGCTGGTTCTCGCGGCGCCACCGCCGCACCGAAGAAGTACGGAGATCGTCGATACAGAGGCAAGCACCCTCGAGAGGGAGCCGCGGCAGCGGCAGCGTCTGTGCCCGACGACGAGACCTACGAAGAGGAATGGGCCGACGAGTGGGCTGGTGAGGACTGGGCCGAGGACGACGACGAGGAGTCGGAGATTCCACCGAGTTCGGCGGAGTTTCGACGCACCCGAGGTGATCGCAAGAAGTGGCGCGGAGGACCATGCCCAGCCCCACCTCCACTCGAGGCCAGGTTTCAGAATATATACAAGCAGCCGAGATACTACCAGAAGTGGGTTAGGAAAGTACACATGTGGAAGGCCAGGGCGCGACACTACAAGCCGATGGCCGAACTGGCCCTGGACCTTTCAGACGTCATCACGGGTGAAGGCGCAGAGATGATCGAGTCCTTGGAGTGGACCCGGTTGTATTCACAGGATGGTATTGATTTGGTGATCAACTCCCTCGCCGTGTTTGATGAACAGCAGATCCTACAGGTTGGAGACCTCATGGAAGAGTATGAAGAAGTGGAGCGTCTGCCCGGTGAGCTGCTGGCTGCATACGTCGCGCATTTCAAGGATCTCGAGATGCGGCTCAAGCGGGCAGAGCTCCCAGCTCAGCAAGGACAATTTCGAGCATTCAAGTTGTTGCGAAGTTCATGTTTATCGCCGGAGGTCCGGCGCAACCTTCTCCTCGCCACGGGCAATGAGTATGACTTCGACCGCCTGGTTCAGGCTATGAGTGTGCAGTGGCCGTCCACCGCCCCCAACTGGGTCGCACCAGTACGACGGATGGCACGTAAGAGACTCGGTGAGGCGGCCGCTCCTGAACGCAGGTCAGCTGGTCGAGATTCCGACAAAGGAGGCGGCAAAGGACGAGATAGACAGCCACCGAGTCGAGCTCCTCGACCGCCGCCGAAGCCGCCCCACGTCAGCGAGGCTGACATTATTCCCGAGGACGAGGCTGAGGAGAACGAAGATGAAGATGACCCCGATCAAGCAGAAGTCAATGAGGCTTACGCCGAGGAGGTTGACAGTATCCAGGTCATGCAGGAGGTGGCGGACGCTTTGACCGTCACCAGCGACAAGTTGAAGAAGCTGACCTTGGGCCGCGGGTGGACCGGAAGGTCCTCACCGCCGAAGCCTGGAGACCGACGCCCGCCACCGCGGTCAGCGCCCTCTGGGGGTGCCACCGCCCCTGCGGGCCGGCCGTCCCCAGCGCCGCCCGGCAGGCCGCCGCAGACATCGTCAGCACCGCCACAGAGAGGCACTGCGACGCCGCCGGCCGGCACGTCTTTTTCAGGAAGCATTCGTGGAACATTTACGGGAGACCGATCCGGAGATTCAAGAGCACCGGCGGCATCTCAGAGGCCAGGGTTTCGCCAGACGTCTTCGAGGACCGGCTACAAGGATAAACGAGATCGAGCTCGTGCCGTTCATGATGCCTCGATCGATCAGGACGAACCCGCCGATGAAGATGATGAGGAGTACGCCGCCGATGCAGTAGAGCACGAGGCCTTAGTCACGCACCTCTCGCCCGACGAGCTGCAGCAGCGCGTGGCCGCCTTCAAGAGCAGGGTCGCCACCAGCGACAAGGGGGCCTCCCACGTTCGATTTCAGGCAACGCCAGAAGTGCGTCAGTTTTCCGTGGATTCTCGCGGAGCTCAGGCGGCGAGAAGCGGGACAAAATCATCGCATCAGGTCGACGTCATCTGGCATGTCCGGACGCCCCTGGACGTTTGCTTCCTCGAGGATTCCCAGGGTTTCTACATTGTCATCGACACAGGTTGCCAGCGCAACGTTGTGGGCTACGAGTGTTTGGGAAAGTTTCTGGAACATATTGCCTACCTGGGATTGAGTTTCTGGGAAGCTGAGGAGCAAGAGAGGCTTCGGTTTGGAGTCAGTCGTGCGGTGAGCAAATCTGTGGTGTATTTCCCGATATGTCTTGAACATGTGGTGCCCCTGGTTTGCCGTACCTCAGTCTTGGACGTGAACCCTAAGTTGCCTTTCTTGGGATCGTTACCGATGTGGAAGCTCCTGGGCCTCCAGCTGGACACCTTGGGGGAAAGGGCTCATTTCACCAAGATCAACCTGTGCGACGTGCCCTTGAAGATTGCCCCGAATGGCCACTTGCTTCTGAGAGTCGACTCTTGGTTGAAGGATGTGGGGTTCCCAAGGGAGCCCGAGGCCTGGAAGTTCACCCCCTCGGACGTCATCATCCCGGAGCCCCAGTGGATCCCAGAGGCACCAGCCTGTGTTTCCGGAGATAGTTGTGCTCAAGCCGAGTCTCAGCCTATGCAGTTTTCACGCGCAGCACTGTGTGCTCTTACATATACTCACCGCGGGCTGCGTCAGCCTCGCGAAGTCCTGCCCTCCGTGCCAGACGGCTGTAACCTGACCGACGCCACGCCCGTGTTCGAGAGCATCCTCGGTCTGTCGGTGAATGAAGTCGGTCAAGTCGGAGTCGCAGGAGGCCCGATCGTCTCGTCGTGCAGTTCAGCTGACGAGGCAGAACCTGGCGATCAACGCGTGGACGAACCTGATGCAGCTGATCATGAACCACCTGTCGCACATCATCGGTCGCAGTCGCGAGCAGTTCCGGCAGAACACGGAGATGTCGAACCGGATGATGGGCGCGATCGCGCAGATGGGCCACGAGATGGGCTACCTGACACCGATGGCGGACTCAGTGAAGGCGATCGCGAGAGGAGCCGCACAGGTTCCAGAGAGCGTGCTGCCACCGCCGCCGGCACCAGAGGATCAAGCCCAGAACTACTCACAGCTGTGCGAGAAGAGGGACGTGTGCGCCCATCCGACAACGAGGAGGTACTACGCCAAGGGGTACTGGCTGATCTGCGACCAGTGCGGCCGGCGGTGGAAGTCGGTCAACGGGAAGTGGATCGTGGACGACAAAGAAGATCCTCTTCGCGTACCTACCTCGACAAAGTCACTGGGTTCCTCCTCGCGCTCTCGGCCAGCTGCTTCAACAATGCCGAAACGCCCGGTCAAGTCTTCGGCGAGCTCGAGCCAGGGTCGTACGCGGACCAAGGCGGAGCCAAGGTCACCCTCGGAGCAGGCGGTTCCGACGGACGAGGAGTACGACGAGAACATGGACAGGGCCTCCGGGGGCGAGGAGACGGGCCAGGGATGGGGCAAGCTTCCGCGCCAGCCTCCCCCGCGTCGGGGACCGAGATGGTGAAGAGAGGCGCCTGGAAGCGCCTTCTCGGCATTGCTAAGAAGACGACCGCAGCCTGCGAGACGCTTATTAACGTGAGTCAAGATGCCGATCGCCGAGCTGCAGATTTACGAGACGCGGAATGGTGCTGTTCAGACGTGGCCTTCATGGACATTCCCGTTCCTGAGTTGCCCGACCACCGGCACCTGGACAACGAGTGCCAGGCGTGCGGCACCGACCTCATCGAGGGCTGCGCAGGGACAGCAAGACCTACGCGACTAGCTTCACGCTTTGAGCTGAGGGCCTCGCCGAGCGCCGACATAGAGGACGGCTGGGACTTGTCAACTACGCGAGGTGCTCAGAGATGGAAAGATCAGATACTGAAAGACAAGCCACTCTACGTGATCGTAGGCTTCCCCTGCACGCTCTGGTGCTCCTACAATGTCAATGTGAATTACGTCGACCATCCCGAGTTGCTTGAGAGACTTCGTGCTCGGGACCGACGGTTGATTGACTTGATCAAGTGGACCATCAAGTACCAGGTGAAGCATGGCCGGTTCTTCTTGTTCGAGAACCCGCCGACGTCAGCGATCTGGAAGGACCTCCAGTTCGCCCCGCTCCTGCCTTTGGGCGAGACCGTTATTGGCCATGGGTGCCAGTACGGGAAGACAGGCAAGACTGGCCTGCCGATTCGCAAGGCGCATCGCTGGTTCTCCAACTCGCCGCCCGCGCTTGCGGCTCTGAGCCGCCGCTGCCCAGGACTTCGTCCGGAGTCCGGGGGCCACTTGCACGATCAGATTGAGAACTCGAAGTGGACAAAGGCCAGCGGCGAGTACACCGACGAGATGGCCCACGCGATGCTCCACGCGATCCAGCAGGTCGCCGCCCAGAGGAATCCGAGCAGGTTGGCCGACATGCCGGTTGCGGCTACCGAGTGGGAGGTCGCCTACAACCACGCAGGTCCCATCGAGGTGCTGTTCGCCTCGCCAGAGAAGGACCCCACCAGGTGGGAGGCGGTCATGCAGGGCGTCCGACAGATCGTGGGCGGTTCCGCCAGCCGAGGCGGGAACAAGGCCATGCATTACCTTTCGAAGTCGTCCGCGCTCTGGAGACAGATTAGCCAGCTCGTCCCGTGGGACCTCACGATGATCCAGCTCGCGAAGTCAGCCAAGCAAAGGAGGTTCCCCATCAACAAGGAGCCGTGGTCTCACCGTGGTCACTGCTACGTGGACGAGAAGGGACACTACCATATCGAAGCCGAGGACCTGGTTGACGTGGCCTTCCCGACGTTGGCCTTGTCGCCGCCCGCGGACCTAGCCGTTTTCTTCTTCGGCTATGCCAAGCAGGAGTCCCTCCCGCAGGAGCCTGACACGTCACAGATAGAGAAGCGAATGCCGCTTCCCCCGGACCCGAACGACCCGATGCTGCCGAACAACAGCCTGCCGCCCGACGAGGACGACGACCTGCAGGACGTCCCGATCGCTCGGATGCCTGACGCGTCCGGCGGTATGGCTGGTATACGTTTTGTTGGAGTGACAAAGGAGCAGTGTCCTCGCGAAGTTCGCCAGCCTGTCGCTCGTATGCACTGTAACTTGGGACATCCGGTGCCCAGCGAGTTCTTCCAGTTCCTGGCTCAGAGAGGCGCCTCGCAGGCCACGCTGCTGTGCGCCAGAGCGCTGAGGTGCCCGGCGTGCCTTCGTCGCAAACGGCCTCAGCGACAGCGGGAGTCACAGATTCCAAGGGTGGGTCTGTTCAACGACTTAGTCAAGGGCGACTTGTTCTACGTCATGACCCACGACGGTACGACACACGCACTCTTGGGACTGGTGGACAAAGCTACGAGACTACATGTGGTGTGTCGGATTGTTTCACGCGAACCAGGAGACGTCTGGGAGAAGTTCCAGACGTGCTGGCTCACCCCGTTCGGGATTATGCAGATTCTGGTTGTCGACAGGGACGGCGCCTTCGAAGCCGTGTTCATGGACAACTGCCACACGTTGGGAATCGACGTGAGGTACGTGCCGCCGGGAGCTCACTGGCAGTTGGGCCTGGCCGAATCCGGCAACTACGCCTGGCGCCGAGTCTTCGAGAAGGTGATCGACGTCATCCTGCCGACGATGCCAGAGCACGTGGACCTTGCGATCATCTCGACGAGCCACGCCGTGAACCAGTCAGTGCGCCGAGCAGGCCGCACCGCCTATGCCGCCGCCTTCGGACGGGTACCCACGCTTCCGACCGAGCTCTTGGCTGACACCACGTCCGCCGAGTTCTGGCACAATTGCACCCAGGATGAGATGCTGGCCTACGGGGGGAGATGCCGCATTGAGGCGCTCAAGGCGATCGCCGACCTGGAGGCCGACGAGGCGCTGCGCACCTCCATCCTCCGCCAGCCTGTCAACCGCAAGGAGTACGACTTCCTCTCGGGACAGCGCGTGGCAGCCTGGGGCGAGCATGGTCGCAAGCGACGGGGCAAGACGCCCGTGGCAGGGTATCGCCCAGGCATTTTCTGTTTCTGGGATTCCGGCACCAACGGCTACGGCGAGGGCGAGTCTGCCTGGTTGCGGATCGGGCACCGCACTGTGCAGGTGGCCCGCGAACACATACGCCCAGCCGTCGGTTTCGAGGGCTGGACCCCTTCCGAGGAGGACCTCAAGGAGCTCAAGACGGCCGAGCAGGACTTGGCGAAGGCCGGCCAGGGCGACGCTTCGAACATCATCATTGAGGGCCCTCCTGAACAACAACCCGAACCAGAAGATCCTCAAGCACGAGTGCTGCCAGGACCTCTTCCGGCAGCCCCGCTAGAGCCCATCCTGGAGGAGCCCGCACAGGCCTCTCTGGGAGACAACGCTACCAAAGAGAACTTCAGGAGCGCGTCAGCCGACGACGCCCCTGAAGCTGCGCCAAATGCTGAACTTCCTCAACTTGCCGACGCATCGGAGTCTCCGACGCCGACAGGCCAGAGCGGTACCCGGCGTCGAGCCCAGAGTCGAGCCGAAGGCGAAGCTCCAGAGCCCGCTGCGCCCTTTCCGTGGCCGGCACCGCCTCAGTTTGGACCAGTCAGAACACGAGAGCGCTCTGCGACGCCCACGCCGAGGAGATCAGCACCTCATACCCGCGAGTCGTCCGCAGCTCGACCACCATCGAGCGGTTCGGCACCTTCGACGGTTATCGCACCACCACCGGAGAAGAAACCCCGACCAGGAAAGCTTCCTCACATACCGGGCTCACCGAGCCCAGCAGCCTTCGTGTCCAACGAGTCGGACGAGATGGAGTTCATCACACCGGATGGCTGGGACGGAGTCGAGGAGCCAGTCCTGCTCAGGACCCGCGTGTTCTCGAGCCTGGCGGAGGTCCAGGAGGCCTACGAGGCGCACCTCTTGCCCATCGAGAACTTCGAGAACGACCCGATCGATGACAGCGAGCCGGACGACGACTGGACAAACTGCCTGTACATGACCTACCACGAGCTCTCCGACCTCAGGGACGGCGAGATGGACGTGGACTGTGCGACAGCACAGGTGGGCGACACGACGGACTCGAACAACCTGTCGAGACGCGAGCAGCGTCAACTGGATCGTGAAATCCCCTGGCGGGAGATCGCAGAGTACCCGGAGGACCAGTTCATGGAGTACGTCAAGGCCTTGCGCAAGGAGTGCCAGAACTGGGACACCTGGAAGTCCGTTCGGGCCTGCTCGCAGGAGGAGGCCGAACAAGTTCGTCGTGACCCTCATCTCCGCAAACGGTGCATCCGTTCGCGCGTGTGCTACCGGGACAAGAACTTGGGGTTTCCGCCGTTGAAGGCCAAGGCTCGCCCGGTGTTGCTGGGGTTCTCCGACCCCGACCTGGAGAAGTTGCCGCGTAACGCCCCGGTGCTGACCGATGCTGGCAAGAAGCTGATCTGCCAGATCGCGGTCTCGAATGACTGGCGAGTCGGGACCGGAGACGCGGAGAGCGCCTTTCTCCAGGGAGGCGCCCAGAGCGAGCGCGAAGAGGCGATCTACATGATTCCGCCCAAGGACCCGATAGTTCAAGCCGCCGGAGTCTTCACCGCCCCACTCTACGAGGTGGTCGGCAACCTGTACGGTCAGTCGACGGCGCCGTACCTATGGTACAAGCACGTGGTGACGACCTTCCTGGCGCTGGGCAGCAAGCTCCACAGCCTCGATTCAGCTCTCTTCCTGTGGTTTTTTCCGAACAATGAGTTGGCTTGCGCGGTGGGTATGCACGTGGACGATGCTCTTGCGGCACACCATCCCAAGTTCGACTTCACCCCGATCGAGAAGGCTATTAAATGGCGAGGCTGGCAGTGGGACAACTTCGTCTTCCTCGGCGAGGAGTACCAGCGCCTACGTCAAGGTCCGTACAGCGGAAGTTTGTTTGTTCATCAAGCGGCCTACACTAAGGCGATTGCAGTCACGAAGGTTGGAGTTATGTCCAGCACTCGGTCTTCTTCTAAGCTGACGCGCTCTGAGCGCGAAGATCTGGAGTCTGCTGTCGGTTCGCTCCAGTGGTTGTCCGGACACACACGTCCAGACCTGTCAGCCGCGGTTTCCCTTGTCCAGAGGACCGACCCCGAGCTGAACGACCTACGGATGGCCATGAAGCACGTAGAGTACGCGCACCGCACAGCCCAGACTGGCATCCTGATCGTCCGCGTCGATTTGAGCCGCGCCTGCTTTGTGAGTTTTGCAGACAGCTCATGGGCGAACGCTCCAGGATTGAAGACCCAGATCGGCACCCTCATCTTTCTGGCAGACAAGGTGATACTCACCGGACCCACGTCATGTACTCTCTTGTTTCACAAGTCCAAGAGAACGCCGAGAGTGGTGAGATCTACGCTGGCTGGGGAAGCTATCGCGCAGGACCTGGGAGTGGACTACGCGTCGCACTTGTCGAAGTTCCTGTCCGAGATGTTGACTGGACGGCCTGCTGGCCGACACCCACCGATCTTCGAGGTTATCACCGTTACCGACTGCAAGTCTCTGCACGATGCCCTCCACCAGCTCACACCGAGTTTGTCTGAGAAACGTACTGTGTTCGACGTGATTTCCATTCGTGACGAGGTGAAGGTCAAGAACGTCAGATGGATCCCTACGACGCACATGATAGCCGACGGCATGACCAAGGAGGATCCGAAGCTTCGTGAGAATCTGACCAAGTTCCTGGCGGATCCAGTGCTGTCGCTCGTGGAGTCGATTGCTTGCGAGGAGCTGACCGGTGGGGATGGCCAAGTACAGAAGAAGTGATTTGACTTTTTACTTGCACGTGCCGGGAGTCGCGTTTCACTCCCATCCGCTTGGTTTCGCCCAAGATATTGCGAGTTTGACTTTTTACTTGCACGTGCCGGGAGTCGCGTTTCACTCCCATCCGCTTGGTTTCGCCCAAGATATTGTGAGTTTGATTTTCTACTTGTACGTGCCGGGAGTCGTGTTTCACTCCCATCCGCTTGGTCTTACCCAAGATATTACCGATTCCGGATGCCGTATCGGGTTTCGGTTCATTGATTTCAGCTGCCGATCCTTGGCCGCTCAGAGAATTCAGTTACTGTTTTATTTCGTGCTAATCCAAGTCCGTGCTGCAAACAAACCCGTTGTATAGCCAGGCCGCATTCCGAGTTTCAGAGCAGGACCAGAGAGAACTCCAGGAGTGCAATAGTCATTCTGTTTATCTGATAATGCTGGTCCCTGCTATTGCTGTTGCATGCTCTCACCCCTCTGCCCGTAAACATATTGGCTGAGGGGGCCCCCTTCTGCCTACGCTACCAGCTAGCATAACGTATCACTTGCAGCGAGAAGGTCTTGGAATAAAAGATTCACGCATATTGTCAGCACCTGCGTGTGCGTTGCAATCTCTTCCTCGGCGGAAGGCGGCGGAAGTAAAACGAGGCCGCCTCCGCCAGCGGAAGCTGGCGGAAGTGAAAGATGCGTCCCCAAGAGATGACAACAGTTTGGGGTCCAGGGTTTCCGGTATCGGCCATCTGATACCTTTATTGGATCCATATCGGGCCCTTGGAAGTCCCGACCCGCTCACCAGTCAGAGGAGGAAAAGGTACCCTTCCCGCTACCCTTCTCTGGCTTTCCCTCCTTTGGGGACCTCCTGGGAGATCCTCGTCGCCACTGCTGGGTTCGCCTCGAAATCCCGTCTGGGGAGTAGCGGTATCGGTCTCCGCACGGATGTGTTCAAGACGTGGGGCGCGTGGGTCCGCGATCTCGTCTCGAGGAGTCCCCCCTCGAAGAACAACAAGAACTGCATGAGCATAGAATTTTGTTGGTCTGCGCGAATTTTGTGGATCTGCGCTGGCTCGCTACGCGCGCCTGAGAAAGGGGGGGGCTCCAGCTCACATCCAAGAAGTCCTTGCGGACTGGCAGAAGTTGATGTTTAGGTATACAGTTGTTTGTTCCTCTCCCCCCGAAGGGAGGGCGGCCCCCCTCTTGGGCGGAAGAGGAGGACCAGAGTAAGTCCAAGATGCATCAGCAATGCTGCAACGCACCCTCCCGGCCCAAGACCCCTCCCCATAAGGTCGGGAACTTTTGGTTAGCATGTCGAGCCGCCGGTTCTGGCCCATCACGCCTGGGCGCGACACGCTAACCGCATGCCGATGATAAGAAAGGGACCCCCCCCTTCAGTGTTTAGAGTTGATTATCGTCGCCCTATACAAAATTAAAATTGGGCGGCGAGCGCTGAGGCCGAACTTCATTATCACCTCGAAACGCTATGTTGAGATAGCAACATCAAGCGATGTTGATATAGCAACATCAAGCGAAGCGATCACACTTTTTCAGGATGTGTCAAGCGAAACCAATAATTTTGGGAGGCAGACTCAAACGAAACGAGCAATGTTCTTGTTATTCTTCTACTTTCCTCTTCTTCTTTTATATTTCTATCTGTCCTCACGCTCGCCTGAACTTTTTTATCCCTGGGGTTGATTATCCATGGAAAATGAAGCACATGAACTACCCTACACGAGCACTTTACATCAATGTTCATAAAGCGTTTGTACATTAAAATTGATAGATTTGGAACTTTGGATTTTTCCTTTCTTCGTCCTCTTCTTATTATCCTCTTCTTCTTCTTTTTTTTATTATTCTTCTACTGTATTCTTCTTCTTTTATATTTCTCTCTGTCCCCACGCTCGCCTGAACTTTTTTATCTCTGGGGTTGATTATCCATGGAAATTGAGGCACATGAGCTACCCTACACGAGCACTTACAAAAAAACAATGTTCATGAGAGATAAGCCATTGTTGAGGATATTTCTATGAAAACTAAACGCCAAGGATGTCTCAAAACGTGCTCGGCTTGGTCTCCTCTTGATCATCTCTTACTTCGAGATTATGCTGAGGTCTGCTGGGCTACTTTTATTATCTCTCCCTGAACCCCGAACTTTATTATCCCCTAGTGTTTATTCTCACGGGCATGAGGTTAACCACGTCCCAATCCCTGAGCGTCAAAGTCCCAAGCCTTTCTTTTCCTGACATCCCGCCCTGCGAAGCGGAGCGACCTGCGATCAGCATGTAGGGCATAGCGCGTCGCTGGGGCCGCCGCCGCGACACGCGAAGCAAAAGGTCCTGACCCGTAGTGTGCGGAGGCCCTCCTTTTCACCACAAGGAGTGTCCCCTTGGAAGACCAGCCCCTGCAATGGCCTGCCATTCCGGCGAGTGTCCCGCTCTCAAAAGGAGTGATGTCGCATCCTTTTGGCGAAGAGTCAGCGCAAGTTTGAGGATCAATTATGGTGGGCAGGTCTCGGGCGAAACGCCTGGCCCGCCCTACGGACTCGTCCGGAGATGCGACAGCGAGGAGTTATCACAAAAGGAGAGGGTTGGGAAAGGAAGAGGAGGAAGGAGGAGGAGGAGGAGAAGGGTGGAGGACGAGGAGGAGGAGGAGGAGGAGGAGGAGAACGAGGAGGAAGGAGGAGGAGGAGGAGGAAGAGTAGGAGGAGGAGGAGGAGGAGGAGCAGGAGGAGGAGGAGGAGTCCAGGAAGAGGAGGAGGAGGAGAAGGAGGAGGAGGAGGAGGAGGAGGAGAGAGACAGGGAGGATGGAGGAGGCAAGCAGTGCTGCTGCTCCCGCTGATCCTCTCTCCTTCTGCTCGTTGCAGCAGCTCCTGTTCTCGCTGGATTGCGGATTCTGCTGCCAGCACTGGAAACCCGGAACGAGGGAGGATGGAGAGGAGGCTCGAGGATCCAGGTCCGAGGGCCATCAGCGTCAGCGATGTCGCCCGCCGCCTTCGTTTCTGCTGTCGTCAGCGGTGCCGTCCTCGGGTCCTCTCTGGGCCGCCCTCTCCTGGTGGGCAGGAAAAGCAAGCGCCCCTCATTTCGGGATGGGCAAGTCGGGGGCTGCCAACGGTGCCCCTGGCCCAAGGTGCCCCCAGCTTTTCGCTCAATCTTGGAGCCCCTGGGGCCCTTTGGGCCTCGTGAGGGGTGCCCTGGAGGCCGCGGGTGCCTTCTCGGAAGTCCTCTGGGGCCCCCTGGGCCAGGAGCACTACTGGCAACACCCGATCGTTTCGGGAAGGGCAGGCCGCAGAAGAAAAAACGGCATAAGCAGGAACTGTTGGCGCTCCGCGCGGATTTCTTGGATCCGCGATGGGCCCAGCGCGGATCCAAGAAATCCGAGCGGGGCGCCAAACGTCCATGTGAATGGTGTTATGTTTCTTCTAGCAGAGGTGCGATACGTTGTTGCCCGAGGGAAAGAGGGCCTCCGAGGCCCCTCCCTGGCTCCCCGATCAGGAAGAATCCGCCCCGCCACCCGGATCAGACCCGCCCAGGAGCGGGGGGGGGGGCGGCTCATAGCCCAGCCGTTGTGGGGGAGGCAGAGCAGGGCGTGGGCCCCGCGCGGACTGGCACGACAGAAGGGCGGCACTTACCGGCGAAGACGGCCGGGGGGTGGGCGGTGGGGGAGGCAGCAGTGGGCGCGCACGTCCTATGGGGTCGGCAATGGGTGCGGGATGGGCCTTGTCGCAGCTGGTGGCCTGTGCTGGTGATGTAGGGAGGGCCTGGGGGGGGCGACGCCACCCTATTAAGTCCAGCAGGGCCACGCGACAACGCCTGCCCGCCACCCCGCCAAGCCCTCCCGCCAGCCCCGCCAACAACACGCACAACCGGACCGCACGGGAGCACCCAGAGCCAACACTCCACCTCTTACACCCAACCGCCGGCGGCGGGCCAGCCCGCGGACCGGGACCCGAGGGCAATGGAGACCTTTCCGACAAGCCCGCCGGCGCGCCCTGCGCTGGTCAGGTGCGGGGCGACGGCAGGCTCCGCCGAAGGGCCTCCGCGCCTCGCCTCTCCTCCCTCCTCCTCCTCTTCCTTCTCCTCGCTCGCTCGCTCGCTCGCTCCCAGAAGGCTTGGGTTCGTGGCCTACACTCTAGGACGGGGTGAGAAATAGCGGGACTGGGAAAGAGTCCTCGCCCTTGCCCGTCTCGAACACCGTGTCGTGCAGAAGTCGGGGGAGGGGAGGGGAGGGGAACCACGGCAGCGGAGCCGCAGGCACCCCGAGCTGTGGGCACAGTGTCTGGAGGGCCAGACCTCCAGGAAGGCGGGCCATCACGATATGGGCAGCACCATAACGCAAGGGCACTCAGTCTTGCCGGTATCGATTGGGGCCCACATAGTCGCGCACCATATGAAGTCCGGGATCGTACGGATCAAGAGGAGTAAAATAGCAGAGGAGATCAGGGGGGATGTCGGTGGCATGGTCAGCATGATCAGCACGCGCGTGCTCGTGCCTGTGCCACGCCTCAGACACAACAGCCCCCGCAAGCAAGGCACACAGAGGCGACGGGCACTGCTTGGCGCCCGTGGTGTGCCACCATCCCTGCTCGCTTCGTCCGCGCAACGTGTGGTGCGCATGGCTGCGGTCACATCGTCCACGCGTGCGCATGCAATCAAGAGCACGCTCCAAGGCAGGGGCATGGACACCGCACATGCACGTGGGGTTCAGAGCCACTCCTCCGAACATGCACTGATCAATAATGCTTAGGCATACTTGTGGCTGAGTGGCAAGCATCTTGAGCTCTGGCAACCTCCACGGGCTCGGCACCTCAGGCACCGCCTCAGATATCGCTGGGTGTCCCATGATAGCCGTAACCCCGTGCTTCAAGGACAAGAAGAGAAACTCAATGCACGTGCGTAGCCAAAAGTTGCCAACCGCTACTTGTACATCCTCCCTCTCCGAGAGATGCCCAAGCCCCCACGGCTCTTGTTGAGACCTCAAGGGCCTCGGGGGCATTCCATCACCAGGGATCGGCATGT